TAAATCCTTAGTTCTTCTCAAGTACTTAAGGATATTCTTGACCGCGATCCAGTGTGACTCTCCTGGATCCGACTGGTATCTGCTCGTAATGCTTAACGCGTACGATACATCCGGCCTAGTACATAACATGGCATACATGATAGATCCTATTGCTGAGGCATATGGGATCCTATCCATACGTTCTCGCTCATCACGTGTCTTGGGACACTGAGTCTTGCTGAGAACAACACCATGACACATCGGCAAGAGTCCTCTCTTTGACTCTTGCATTCTGAACCGATTCAGAACTTTATCGATGTATGTACTTTGACTCAGGGCAAGAAGCCTTTGAGATCTATCTCTATAGATCTTGATGCCTAAGACATAGGCAGCTTCTCCTAAGTCCTTCATGGAGAACTGTGTTCCTAGCCAAGACTTAACGTCTTGCAAGGTAGGAACATCGTTTCCTATGAGCAGGATATCATCCACGTATAGCACCAGGAAAACGACTGTGCTCCCACTGGCCTTCTTGTAAACACATGGTTCATCTTCGTTTTGAGAGAAACCAAACTGTTTGATTGTCTCATCAAATCGAAGATTCCAGCTTCTTGAAGCCTGCTTCAGTCCATAAATGGACCTCTGAAGCTTGCACACCTTCCCCGGACTCTCTGGATCGACAAAACCCTCGGGTTGTATCATATATACATCCTCGAGTAGGTTCCCGTTAAGGAACGCAGTTTTGACATCCATTTGCCATATCTCATAGTCATAATATGCAGCTATGGCAAGCAGAATCCTAATGGATTTAAGCATCGCGACGGGCGAGAAGGTTTCATCATAGTCAATACCATGAATTTGCCGAAACCCTTTCGCCACCAATCGTGCCTTATAGGTATGCACGTTGCCATCCATGTCGGTTTTCTTCTTGAAAACCCACTTACATCCTATGGGTTTTACCCCTTCGGATGCGTCGACCAAAGTCCATACTTTGTTGTCGTACATGGATTGCATCTCAGACTTCATAGCCTCGTGCCATTTCTCAGAGTCGGAACTCGCCATAGCCTCTGGATATGATGTAGGCTCGTCATGTTCCAATAACATGAGTTCATCATTACCAGTCACGAGAAATCCAAATCTCGTAGGCTCTAGGCGAACTCTCCCTGATCTCCGAGGTTCACAAGTATCATGCGGAGTCTCAAGTCCCTGTGATGCAGGTTGAACATCTTCAACCTGCTCACTCGGTCCAGCATCTGTTTGTAG